CAGTAACCCGGTGTGTGTCTAGTTATCAACCATCAAATTGTGAGGATTGTCCGATTTGATTTAGGGTTTCCGATTTTTTTTTGAAAAGGTGTCCCGATTTTGATTTGAAAAGTGTCCGAGTTGGTTTGAAAAGTGTCGATTTGGTTTGAAAAGTGTCCGATTTGATTTGAAAAGTCTCCGATTTGATTTGAAATAGTCTCCGATTTGATTTAAAAGTGTCCGATTGGTTTGAACAGTGTCCGATCTAATGTGAAAATGGTATAAATTAGCTTTTTCTCTCACAGGCTAGATCTGACAGATCACCGTGAGCCACAGAATCGGAACGTATACAACATTTTTAAAATCAAAAGTGAAACTCAGATGCATGGCGTATTCCGCAGTAGTCTCAATGAAACTGATCTTAGTAGTTTATACTGAAAGTGTCAAACGGATCTGTTAGGTAGAAGAGACCCCCTCCATTGTAATTTCAAAAACTCACAGACTGATTGGAGTGCATTGAAAATACTTGTTCCCACTCCCCTCAACTGTCTCGAACCTTCAAAGGCGCCCTTAGGCATAACAGGAAACCACCCACACACCTTCAGGATTTCATGGTAATTTTCAAAATGTGGACATCGTGCATTTTTAATTTAAAAAAAGGTTGAATGGGTTGACTGCAAAAGCTTCTTTAGTCACGTCATTTATGAGAGAATGACGAAGTCATTCATCAGAGTAATGGGTCTCATTAAAACTAACCTGATGGGTGCACAAACAAAAGCGCCATGAAATGAGTTCATGTTCTAAGAAGAACTCCCCCTCCCCTCCCCTCCACACATGTTTTGGACATTAACTTACACAGAGCATTCATGGGTTCGCTGAAAGCGTTGCGATGCTCAGAAACGGTATCGGGATGAAGCATGAACCTCACAGGTGCGTCCAGGGCACAATGTGTGTTGAGGAACCCCAGCAAGGAGGGGAACGGGTCGTATTCGGTCGCTGGAGACAGGGGTCGTAGTAGCCTTTGAGAAACATGTTCTCGGACTGACTTTTCTCGGTTCCTCCCTCTTTCGCGAGTCGCATGACCTCAGGAATCTTGAAGAAAAAAGGAAAATGGTAGAAAGTGAGTAGATCCTAGGAGATTGGATGCTTTTCTTGGTTGTAGGGCAATATCGGGATGGGTTGGAGGTGACGCGGCGGATCCGTACTGGGGGGGGGTGTCGTCTGTGGTTGTATGTACTTGGCTGGGGATGCCGTTTCACCCTTATCAGAGCCTGAACAGTCAACGTTGAGTGCGGTTTATCCCTTAATATTGTTTCAAGCTTGAAAACCTTATCATGGACCCAAAAGCTATAGTTAGGTATCGCAGAAAATGGATTATTTTCACTTTATTACTTCCTGCTGCTGCATTTGCAGCAGCCTATTAAGAGGAACTCGACTCGGCTAAGATGCTTTTCTTTGACGTTTACATTCCCTTGTTTTCGCTTTTTCATAAAAATCCCACAAAATTGAGGGTTTAGCCTGGATTTTGTATGAATCAACGCTGGATCATTGACGAAAGCGTTAGCTTCTATTTATTTATATAGAAATCCTTTTCCTACTTCAATAGAAGTTCCCACTTTTTACCCTGCTGGTTGATATTCTGACCGAGATGGATTCTGAACGATGCTTAGACAGTGGTCCGGGGCCACTTGCCACCATATCACCCCCATTTTAAAGTAGCAACCAGTAATTACCAGCAACATGTCATGTTCACCTTATACTCCGCTCAAAGGCGGGTACTATCTTCAAGAGCGTTTTTCAGCTTAAGATGCACGAAAAAGGCCCTGATGTATCCCCCAGGCAATTTTTACTCAGTAAAACTGCACGGGAAGCTCGAAATAGTTGCACACCCCATTCAGGCATACAAGAAATTTACAACATCAGGAAACCGGGCCCCGCCACAGAGTGGGATGCTTTCAAAACGCCTAAGGCCCGCAACAGCTGGGCCTAGACACAGGCAACTATGCCACTTCAGGGGCAGCCTGAACCTTACCCATTCATTCGTGATCATTTTCCTTTTTCTCTGCAGTCTCTCGGCTTCATAGCGTCTTAGACCACCGATCTCATGCACTTCAGCTGCTCACGCTGGGTAAGCTGCAGTTATGCACGTTTGGGGTACTCTGCTCTAAAAATGGTAGCAGGGTGCTAAATGGGGGGGAAAAAGGCGAAAAAGCGAAGTGGAACGTTCAAAAACCCGCAAAATACTTTTACCATTAGTTCTCTCGACTCATAAAGCAACTTCGGACGAGATCCCCGTTGGCATCGTGTCATTAACGCTACGTTGGATACGGCTCCACGTATGTACTCATACAGGGGGGGGGCCAAAAAAAGTCATTTTGCCTCCATGACTTTCAAGGCGCTATAAGTTACACTTTATTAAATTTTTATCGGACATTTTTACTACCATATTAAAGAGCACATTAAATACTATAATGATACTCCGCCACAGCCTTCTGGAGGAGCGCCATCGAGAGATTCTGGCACGCGACCGCGATGTGGTGCCTGAGATCAGCGAGATAGTCGATTTCTCCGCCACTGTAGACCACCCTGTTGAGCTCCGCCCGAACCGAGTAATTGAGGGGTTTAGTTCAGGACCCCCGCTTAAATACTCCATCTTTTCCAGGTACTCAACGTTCTTCCATTCCAAGTAGGCGAAAGTTTTTCCAACGCCCTTCGATTAAATGTGTTGTCACCCAATCCTGTAGCAGTACAAAGTTTCCAAGAAGGTACGGGCGACGACATGAAGATGGGATATTCTCCTCGAGTTGCTCGATGTAGCCACCAGCGCACACCCTCAGTCTGGGGCCCACGAAGAAAATATCGGTTCATCCATTCCAGGTACGGCCGGTCCACACCATCAACCCGCGCCTTGGTGAATGGGGTGAAGATGATGTCCTGGACCGTAGCGACGTTGCCGGAGCTGCTCGATGTTTGAGGTCTTGCAGATCAAGAGTACTGGTCTCCAGGTAGCTATCCATGGGTGATTCCATTCAAGAAGTTTCAGCTGTTTGGAGGCCACGTGAATTCCAAAGGCGTTCTCCACTCAGGCCGCGACTGGAGATGACTTCATATTTTGGTGTACATGAAGGTGAATGGCGGCAGCCGGCTCCTGCTTATAGAGGAAGATCTTGGGTATCTTCCGCCCTGGTACTCATATCCACTTCCTCTGTCTGGGCTGCGAAAACTTCGCTCATATGTGACTCGGCCGGAATGACTTTTTTTTTGCCCCCCCCCCTGTATATCCATGATCCATGCAGCACCGAAGCCGCTCCGACGGGGTGGGCTTCTTGGTCGATGTGGTTCTGCTTGATAGGGTGTATGAGGGAATCTTCCTTGGAAAAGGCGCCACGCAGCGCTTGCTCGGGGGTGCCGAAATCTGTCCTGCTAGGCCTATGAATAACACACGTCTTTGTTTTATTGTGCCGACTGCCTTTAAGTTTATCCACCTCGGAGTCCTCCCCATCCCTATTAAAAGGCCATGCCCCAGCTCACCACATGTTTGCCCCTCTCGATATTTGGTAACCATCCTTTCTTAGTGTTAGAGGATTTCGCCATAGGACCATGCAGAAAAGTTCGAGTTGTCTTTAACCCTCAACCCCGTGGTAACATTCCAGCCAGTTCACACCACAAGAGGAAATTTGGACCCTAATTTCGGGCTAAACTCCAAAGGAGAGGGAGGGGGCGAAGCTAGGGGTACATAGCGCTCAACCCCAATGTTTCCGTGGTTCAAGAATAAGCTGATATGAACGTTGGTTGCTTCTGTAAATCAAACAGTTGGCCCTGAAAGCATCCCACCATGCACGATCCAAATGGAAGCTGCGTGCATGGCGTATCTTGGAACTGTCGAACAAGTCAGACCACCTCATCAGAACATATCAGTATAGTACACCTGAGCATTAGATAGACTTCTTTATTTCTTTTTTCATAGAAGAAAAACATAACAACACAGAAATACATACATCATATATGAGATCATCATGTGCACGCGTTTGTGACGTCACAAAAGATGAATAGTGATGAACGGATGAAAGGATGAAGAAGAAGAAGACGGAGATGATGATTGGATGATCATAAGCAAGAAGTAGAACAGATACCCGTTTGTATGATGTGTGTGCGTGTACATGTGTGCGTATGAATACGAATAAGCGACGCGTGTCGACGCGTATCGTCGCGCGCGCGCGACACGTCGCCCGTAACTTGTACTATAGACGGCAAGACCTACAGTACCAGCAGAAAATGAACGATGATGAACCTGCACGTGAGAGAAAAAACAATAACTATTCAACACATACATATATGATGCACATATAAATAGAGAATATTGCATATGTCATAAGAATCATCATATAGTTAGTGAGACCAGCCACATTCACCCAAAAGGATAGGAAGGATACGTGAAGCACACATCTAGTCTCTAATAACATGATATTAGGAAGACTGGCGCACTTCGGCTCGGAGGGGGTAGTGATTGGAACTCAGCGAAGCTTGCACAGGTCACCTTGTGAAGACCTGTAATGTCCTGTTGCTAGAGTGGCTCATTTGTACTACTTCAGAGCCTCACAGGAGTTTACAGTCTGACCAAAGTGAGACCTGTTGGTTTATATGGACCAACAAAAGGAACTATCGAAAGTTCAAATGGTTCCCTCCAAGCCGAACAGCACCGGAAGGCAAAATTGGAACTCGGGATAGAATGGATGATAACAACAGACAAAGCGATCGGAATTCGGAAATCAGAATTCCTATATAAAGAACTGTTGAATTCACAGCTAGTATGTCCTGAATCATCAACTCTCCGAGGGAATTTCCCAAAGGTTCTCGGAATGCAAACGCAACCCCTTCGAGAGTTGATGAATCAGGCCATTGAATCCACACTATTATCTATACGTAAATAACTCTTACATAAAATTTGGCGCTATTCTTTGGGATCTACTCGACGACGACCATAGGGTTACCGTAGGGTTAACGTAGGGTTACCGTTTGGTTCACGCTTTCCAGATATATCGTCGACTGTGCCGATTGTGACGTTTCGGCGCGTTCGTAAACATATGCATACACGTTCGGAATTTGTCCGTTGAAAAACACTGAGATCTAGAAAAATCATATTCAGTCTACTTAGAGGGTGCAGGCGATATACAAGTGGTCTACTTAGAATGAAACTGTACTTACCGACATTCCGCTCGCATATTCGGTACCTCGTGGTTGTGGAATTCATGACAAAGTTCACAGATCTTTTCGGCCACCTCTTTTAACGGCGCATTCATCTGAGGCGAACATTCGTTATCGGCCAATGGTTCCTTATCGAGGATTCGGGCCTCCGACAACGTCAGGAGAATAAAAAGCGGTAGAAATACAACGTGAGAACAGAGCATTTCAATAGGAAGGGTTCAAGTACGTGAAGTAGTACAAGCAGTACAGAATACTGATTTCACTGACCACTACGAAGTGTCAGCCGGGTGAGAGTATGCGTATATGTGTGGGTATCTTCAGAGAAGAGGCGGCCCGCTATCGGCTTTATATAGGGCGACGACGATATGACGGAATGTTGAGAATGTTACACGGCCACGCCCACCTCTAGGTCTACCCACCCTTTTCTCCCCTCCTTAATCGCCCTCGAAACACATGCAAATATGCAAAGATTTCTATCACGAGAAAACCTTTCCCCACCCTATCAAAATACCGTACTTCTAATTACTAATCGATAATCGATCTAGTGAAATATGAGACGGGGAAAGTCACATTGTAGGCTTATGAAAGCAATTGAAACCTATTATTTCCTTCGCTGGAAAGGTCGCCATAATAGGTAAATGTAATAAGGTTAATAAAGTCAAAGACTCCCGCTAATGAAAAGTAATCTATAAAGGTTACCTACCATACTTACCCATTCAGCGCTGACATTAAGCCTGGGTTAATTGGGTCCAACACTACTTCCATCAACTATACTTGACATTGACATTCAAAAAATGCCAAGTGATACGGATCTTTGGAATGAGAACAGTTCACAATTAAGTCTAACAGGCTCTCCAGAAAACTGTTTAGCCATGTAGTTTTAAAAACGTGAAAACGTACAGCAGTACGATTTATGGTGTAGGGGTGGGGGAGGGGTGGCATTGCATACATGTAGGCTGTGAAACTGAATCCTGACCAGATAATTCCGGCTTAAACCACTGAGTTACAAGATTACTTGAACTTTTAGGAACAGGTACGTCCTACCGTGAGGAAAAAATTTTACACAGTACGACGCCCACCCTTTAAAATTCCCCTTCTGGCACGACTACATCCTCGGTACTATCTGCCATCCCAATAAATTGTCTGGGATTCTACCCTTGACTATAGAACTTATACATGACTGTATAACTTTTTCACCATTTTTTTTTCACAAATTCTTCACACTTCCCCAGAAGACTGCCATGGAAGCAAGGCACGCAATACACTGGGGAATCCTCGGAGGGAAAGGGAACATACTTGTGGCTGGAGGGAGGGCGGTCGCACTTGGCCTGGAAAGATTCTTTTTGATAATTGTTTTTCCCTGTTTCCCCACCTCCCGCTGAAGAGAAGATTTGGCACTATTTACCCTTTACTGCCCCAGCCATCCGAAATCAGGCCAGTTCCTGACCGACTTTTTTCTCCGTGGGCAGAATTTGCTGAAAACTTGGCTCCAGGGGTAGTTCGACTCGCTGAACACGAATATCGCATCCGCTTAACCCGAAACCTCCTGGCGCCCGCGCCACGGGCGCCGGCGCCAAAATAGTCGAAATCACCAAATTCGCTGAAAACTTGCTTCCAGGGGTGGTTTGACTCCCTGATCACGAATATCA